ACGATTATTCGGTATGAAAAGTCACGACTGTCACATTTTCATGCAAAGCCTTATACCAATTGCATTTCGTGATTTATTACCGAAACAAGTGTAATACCCCAAAAATTTCAAGAACAAATAAGTGTGAGTTAGGGACTTAATGGTGAGGAAACATTATTAATGGACCTAACCTTCAATTTTTCAAACTCCAAAGGGGTTAAAAGGTTAATGGATAAGGCCGGCTGACTCATTTCCTTTTTCTTTGTCTTTTCTTTCTTTCTTTCTTCCCAGGCATTTTCGTGTCTGCTCTGTTTTTCTTCTCCTCTGCAGCCGGACATCACCAGCCATAACCGAAGCCTCCACTTGCAAAAATTGGTAAGAGAACTTGATAATTTTTGTTCTTCTCTTGCTCAAGAACAAGTCTAGGACTTAGAATCTCTCTCTTTTGTAGAAAAGCCGCCGGATCTGCTCTGTTTCCTCCTCCCTCTGCCGCCGGCTGTTGTTGGGTATAAGCCCCGGTTTTTCCTGGTAAAATCAGCCCAGAAACTCCTCTTTTCAGCCTTGATTTATGTTGGATTACCCTAATCTTTATTTCTTTCAATTGCTAGTGGTTCCCGAATTTCTCTCCAATTTTTCCCGCCGGCTCCTCCCATACCCGCCAGCTCCAGCTTTGCTTGTTAAGGATTTTTGGTAAGTTAGCTTCTCTAATCTCCGAAAATTAGTGGATTAATGGCTGCTTTGTGAGTTAATTGGTTGTATGAAATGAGCTTGGGTTGTCCAAAAATTCTGTTGAAATAGGGATGAGTTTTGGCAATTTGAAGATGGGTTGGTTGATGATTTAAGTAGAAAATCCTTAATTTTGTTGCTGTGGGTGTGTTCGAGAGAAAAATGGGAGAATTTCGTGAATTGGCCATTTTTTTGTCAAGGCCGGTTCTCCCAAATTCTTGTCCATGAGTTTGAAAATTGTATACGTGTAATTATATAATTGTATATACATATATATTAATTCGGAATATTGTGATTAGGTCCTTGATTGCCCTGTGATCCTAGCACTTGGATTAGGCCTTTTGTCCTGTGTGATTAAGGTAAGTAAATTATAGTAATGCCCTTAAATTTTTGAAGCATGTTTTAATTGTTTTCTGAGATGGTGGCGAGGCTTAAATGGATTTATTTGCATTTGAGCATGATTAAAAAGGGAAATTGAACTTTTATTATTTTCCTTATTTTTTGGAATTGAGCATGCCCACATGAGATTCTTCGGTTTATTTTCGAAAGTGAGAACAATTGTGAATCGTGGTTTTCTGTAAGTCTTGCTGGGTTTTGTCTTCGATGTGGTCATGTATTAGTGACCCCGCTAGTGGGGGAGGTTTATAAATGCTAGCACATGTCGACATGTTAGTGATAGGATCGGTTTGCTCGTGAAATCCTACTAGTGGGATCATACACTAGTAATTGTGTGCCTGCCAGTGAGAGGTTTATAACACTGGCCATGACTAATAGAGGAGACCACTATGTGACTTTAATTGCATTAATGGTTTGTTATTGAAACGCTCTGTTTATGTTTCAACCGATTATTTGGCATGCTTTAAATTTTGATTCCGGGCACCCATGTTTACTTACTGTGATATTTTATCTCACGGTTTCCTTGTCCACCATTTCAGGTAGTGAGACCCGACATGTGGGAAGCCCAGGGGAGTGACGAGCTAGACGGCTAGGCATTTTTGGACTTAGATTTTGTAGCTAGGCCGTTAGTCACCCATGCCTGACTTAGAAATTTTGTGTACAGAACTCCCTTAGTTATAGTCACGACTTTATAAATGAAGTCATAAATCCTTGTACATTTTGCCAAGTAAATAGTTGGAAAGGAAAAGAAATTAGATATTACCTGAGTTTCTAAATCTAAGTTAGTGATATGAACTTAGTAAGTTTCGAGCCTTGTGCATTTGTGGGACCCTCTCACAAGTGCACGGCGTCTGCCACGTCCCCGGATTTGGGTTATGGGGCATGACAACAAGTTTGGGAGCCACTTGTTGAGATTAGTGAGTTCTTTAGGGCCTTGTGTGCTCCGGTGATTTAGGTCAATGACATGGCAATATGGCAAGAGAGGACAGTAGAAATCATTTGTAAGCTAGAGCGAATCTTTCCACCTTCATTCTTTGACAGTATGGAGCATCTTGCAATCCATCTTCCATATGAGGCTTGTGTAGGAGGATCGGTGCAATTTCGATGGATGTATCCATTTGAGAGGTAAATATAATTCAAAATGATCCTTTCAAGGACCATTTTGAAACTTTTTAAAATTTTGAGGGTATATTTGATACAAACTTAGAAGTTGAGGTACCAAATTAGTATTTTAATCATAACTTAATTATATAATAATTCTTGGTGAATCAGGCTAATGCATTGTCTTAAGTTGACGGTGAAAAACAAGTAGCGTCCTAAAGCATCCATATGTGAAAGTTACATAATGTCTGAGATCACAAATTTTATCTCTCATTACTTAGATGATGGGGTGCATGGTACAATTGATAATCCCATGAGGAATATTGTTGTTGGATTTGGTGATAATAGTGGTCTATCCATCTTTAAATGTGTTGGAAAACGTATTGGTTCCAAAATTGAAAGACGTTGCTTGACGGTAGAGGAACGCAAAGCTGCTTCGTATTATGTGTTAATGAATTGCGAAGAATTGTGAGGATGGGTCAGGTAAAAAACCTACACTAATATCTTTAATATTTTCAATTAGTTATGTTAAGATTCATTGAATTAAAATACTAACAATATATAAAAAATTATTATCAAATTTTCTAGTTTATTTGAGAGTGAACAATGTCAAAATATGAATTCTCAACAAATTCAAGCAAAACGAGAGAGAGACCTTGTGCCCTAGTTTGAACAAGCTTTGAGTATTTAATAATATGAATATTCAATTCCTTAACATATATATGTTATTTCTCTTCAAATGCATCTAACATTTTCTTCTGCAATCTATATATTTT